TTTTATTAGACCAACTCAAGGAATTGGAAAAATTCTTCTTTGCAAGGTTTCGGGTACAAATACCCTTTGTCAGGCTGAGGAAGCGTCTGCAGATGGTCTGTGCTCCTTTTCACTGGAGTTTAGGTACCTAGCCCTCTTAAGACATCTAAGAACAACTGAAAAATGTAGTTTGGTCAGATTTGCTTCTATTCTGTGGTTTATGGCTGTAAATTGTAACCCAGACTATCAAAGGAGCAACAAGCTCTCTCAGCACCTGGGGCAGAGGTGTTGTGGGGAGAGAATTATGCTGATCACTGGATAATTGATCCAGTGAGGGGTGAGGGGAGGAAGAGAAGAGTCTCATCTCTCCTGGTTCTCCTCACTGGAGCTGTCCCAGTAGAGGCTTGAGGTGCTGCTCCTGGGTGACAGAAAGCAGTGCAGGCTTCTCAGGGACCTTTCCTAGTTCCTCATCTGTTCCTCTCTCCAAGAGCTATGCCTTCATGACAAAGCCTCTGGGAGAAGGGGGTGTCATTCCATTCGCCCACCCAGATATACCACCAGGCATGGGGCTGTACTGCCCAGCTGGGCTGTACTTGCCATGGCAGACTCCTGGGGTCAGGGAGCCATACTGGTGTCCCCTCTACTTAGCCCCTTAGTTATGCTGCTACAGACTATTTCCTCTGAAGATTTCTCTTTACCAGGGGTAAAGCCCACAAGGATCCAGAAAACTGGCAGCAGGGTAGCAGTGGCAGCATCCATTGCCACTCTTCGGGTGTGTCTACACATTGCCCTATGGCGATGTTATTACCGTGCTGTGCTTTAGTAGTTCCTTCTGCAAGTACTAAAGCATGGTGCAGTAACCACCCATACTGCACTGTACGCACAGCGCACAATTATTTTTAGCAGCTACTTCACTGTAGCGGTGCAGTATAACAGGGAGGTACACTGCTATGGCAAAGTAGCTGCTGGTCACATGTAGACACCCGTGGATGCTATGTCGCAGTATCATGTGTAGACACGCACTTTTGCTGCCAGATTTCTGAACCTATGTGGAGCCCTGCAGGTCAGAAAATGCGAGCCTGCATCCAGATCACACCAGTGCATAGCCAGATCTAGGCACATGGGGTCAGGCTGGTACACAGTGTTGAACCAGCATATGAGGTGAGGCCAGGATACAACCAGTTGCAGGTGCACAGGATTTGCTAGTGTGCAGCCAGCTTTGGGCACATGGGTTCAGGCTTATATGCTGTTTTGCACCTACCAACTGACCCCACCTACTGACTCTATGTGGTATCTGGCCTGTGGATCTATCCCATGTTACTCTTCTGGCCTACAGGGCTGGAAGGTAGGCCACCATTGACCTATGTGATGTCTGCCCCTTTACATTTTGATGAGCCTTTTTGGTTTCAGAGGGAAGCAGAATGTTTTTCTGACATCTTAATAGAGAGATGTGAGGCTTTAAAAGTTCATTATGGCTTTTTTTCTACTTAGCAAACTTGCCTATTTGTGTGCACAGACAGCTTTTGAGGCTCTCCCTCCTTTCAATAGGCAAAGCATTTACAATAAAATAAGAGCTGACATAAGCCTTTAAAAAAAATTAAAACTGTGAACTTGTAACACGCCTTGCAGGGTCTGAAAAAGCTGAACAATTTTCTTCCTGAGATTCTAGTTTTATTGTCTCTTAATCTGACTTGACTCAGTTCAAAATACAGTGTAGAAACTGGAAATGTTTTAAGAAGTTCTGTTATTATCTTGAGATTCACCTGCCTGTGTTTGTAAATTGAAGAGGTTTGGATAGGCATCTGAACTCTGTCTGTCCCAAAGGGTCAGACTATTGTTGCTCTAAACCAGGGGTAGGCAACGTTTTTTGGCCGGAGTGCTGAAAAGACCACAATGTCTACTTTGGAAGGTGCTGGAGTGCTGACACGCTGGAGCCTAGAGCAGCTGTTTGCAGCCTCCCAGCTGCAGCCAGCCCATGGAGCCAGGTCTGTTTGCAGCAGGGCTTGCAGCCTCCCAGCCACCTGCTGGGAGCAGCCTAGATCTCGGGCTGGCGATGGTGTGCCGAGCAAAATGGCCTTGCGTGCCATGCTTGGCATGCGTGCCAGGGGTTGCTGACCCCTGCTCTAAACCAATGGTTTTGTGAGCTACTGTACAGATCTATGGTATAACAAATGACATGTACTATAAATTATTAGGCCAGGTACAGATATTATACTTTTACCAGTATAAGTGATTGGAAACTGGTCTACACCCATAACAGAACAGAAGGTCAGCACACACAGACTGGTTTAAGAAAGGTGAAAGCCAGTCTAAGATTTTCCCCCACCAAAAGGATAATGTGTGTTCTGTTTGCTACTGATCTAAACTATGCCACTTACAGAAAAACACATAATTTAAACCTATTCCACCTCAGGCTTTTTGAATGTCTGTACCTAGTCTTAAAGATGGAAACACTCTATTCACTGTTCTCTGTCAAGAGACCTGTATGCTATGATCCTATACATCTCTGTGTTATAAAACAGAATTTTTAGGTTCCAAATTCACGTGCTCAGAAGTTAGGAAACGTCAGACTGACGTTATATTCATGCACCCTTAATTCTGCCTCTTCATATATTCAGTCTGCACACTGGATGAGACAGAGTCCTTTGAGAAAAAGTAGCATGTGATTGTATAATTACAGAAGGCCAGGTAGGTTTTCACCTTATAGACTAACTAAATCAGAGATGTATAGCATGAGTTTTAATGAGCTGAAACACTTCATCAGATGCTGTGAAAGGACATGAACAAAGTGGTCATGTAGCAAATAGAGAAAGTGATTTGAATAAAAAAGACAAGGAAGGGAGGGAAGGATGGGGGAGAGGGCAGTTCTGGGAGAGGCAAATGAAGAATAAACCCATAGGCACAAAGGAGTCACAAAAGCTAACAGGTAGTCGGTTAAGAATCCATACTCTGTTTTTAAAGATCATGATGCACTTATATAATGGTTGAGTTAGGGTTGCATGGCCACCTCATATAGGCATCTCCAATCCTTCATGTGATTTTTTTAAACTTTAATGTTCTTATGTGTGTGTGTGTGTGTGTGTATGTATGTATGTATGTGTGTATATATATATATATATATATATATATTTATATATGTTTGCAAGTAATTTCTTTGTCTCTTTTTTTTAGGTGAAAAATCTGTAAGCACAGATCACTAGTCGGGTGAGGGTGAACTGAATCTCCAGCACTGTAGCACAGACTGACAGTGGCAGTAGAGGAACTCTTGTCCTACTTGCTACTCTCATTGAAGGTACTGAATACTGGATCCATATACAGATTCAAAGGGAAAGATCAGCAGGTACATCCAGCTTCTACCACTACAGCTGCTTAGGCAGCAACCAGGCTTTCCCATGGCAGTATAGCCTACTTTAATGTGAACTCGGTAATTTAAATATTCACCTGTTATCTGGGGAGGCTGCCAACATTTTCCCAAGAAATATAATTGGGAGATGATAAAGTTTATAAATTTAAAAGTTTATAGCTCATGTATATTTGAATGGCATGTCCTGGGAGGATGAAGAGGAGTTCCTATAGTGCACTGGCTTTATTCCTGCCCAGTTTTAGATCTAACAATGGAAATAATTGAGCTACTCAAAACCAGCAACATGTGAAAAAAGCTCACAAGATTTTTTCTACTGCAAAGCTTTACGCAACCCAAATATAGAGTTTGCTACCAGCTTTCCTTTCATAATAATAATAATAATAATAATGGGGAACTCAGAGTAACAGGTTCAAGGATTTGGGTAGCAGTCTGAGTTGTTTGAAATTCTTTTGTCTCTAACAAAGAAAAAAAATCACATATTACTTATGTCCTTTTAAATTTAAAACAGCTGTTGCCTACTGGCACTGCCTAAACGCCTACATATTTGACCACGTAACGGCAGAATTCCAGACCTCTGGTTTCGTATGGTTGCATATCAGTGACATTATTAATGTCTGTTTACCAATGCCTTTGTGGAAGGGAAATTTTTATTTCTGCTGATGTGTTCTCTTTGAAGTGATATGGTTAAGATTTTTACTAGTAAAAAGTCACACTTAAAACACCTTTCAGTACCTGACATGAAACAGGGCAAGGGTAGTGTAGCATCTCTACTGCCATTGAGAGGCTCTGTAATTGTTGCTAAACTCACAGTTGTATTGGACCGGCTTGCTAAGACAACATTTCTGGAAGCATTACATCTGGGAGGTCATACATAAGAGAACAATATCCAAGGGCCAACAGATAAATGTTCCCAGCACTGCAGTGTCCTCCCTTTCATTTCTCCTTTTGGGATTTACTTCTGGGAAGCCCATCAAACAACACAGCGGCATGTCAGGCAGACAAGAAGACTTCTGGATGGCAAAATACTTACATCTCTTCATCTCTGAATTCAGAAGGTACCCACGTTTTTCCAAATCATATCTGCATCATTTCTCTTTATTTTTTGGCATGTGGGAAATAACAGAGGGAACAGCACACAGGAAACCTTGGAACAATTAATCAGAAAGAAACAGTGTCATCACTAACCAGCTTGGAAACATTAGTGGTCAGGGATCTCAACTGTGACTATGGCTATTATGGCTCCGTGTATTACAATAGTCCTGTTATAAATTTATTTCAGATGAGTTTTAGTCTTCTTATTTCCAAAAGGAATGGGGTCATCAATAATGTTGAACTTTTTCTTTTTTATTATTCTTTTTTATTTTTTTATAAGACTTGTGCGAAGCCTTTTATTTGTTTAAGTAATAAGGCCTTTCTGGTACTTTGATCAGCATGGCTAATGTTTCTTCAAAGATTAACTGACATTCTTTAAAAGTACATCAGTTTCCTTTTAAGCAGGTATTTACTTACCACGTAACTGGGTGTTGAGTGCTATGTAGTTATAAAGTTTGCTGGGCTCAGCTGTAGATTTCCTCAAGACATACTGCTGACATCACTAAATCTCCTCTCAGATTCCTTTCCCTCTCTCTCCCTCTCTCCGGTTTCCTCATTCAGGTAATTCCAATTCAGACTCTTACCAACTTGCCTTTGACTGACAGTGAGTTAAGGGAGACTCTTTGGGGAACTTTTAAAAACATACATATGTGCTTTAATCTAAAGTACACCCAATCTTCTATAAAAGGTTGCTTGGCTTGTCATGACGATAACATCTAATAAGGAATCTGAACATTTTTTTTTGCAGGTAAGATAATTGTCTAAATGCATACATACTTAACAGTGGCTTGAAAACTTTATGTAAAAACAAAGTTGATGAGTAAATTCTGTTCCTATTTCTAACTACTTTTAGCAAATTAAGATTCCAGAAACTATCTTTAAATAAAATCTGCTTGTAAGATCTTGTCTGCATGTGAAATAGAGATGCATGTTAGTTTAATGATGGTACAACATGTTTCTCATTGATGTAATATACCTAATGTTAGGTTTATAATGTGTTTTGTATATTAGCATGTTGGAAGAAAATATAGGACTTACCTTTGCAATATATTTACTGTTAAGTATTTCCAAAAGAGATTATAATGTTTTGCATTATGTTAGAATCATGCCTCTGCAAATTTTCAGACAGTTATTTCTCCTTTTTTATTGAATGTTTGACTGGAACATTATAAAAACCTCTGTTACTTATTTGCATAAGAAAAGCTTATGTACATTTTCTGTGGTAAGTATAAGGAATGTAAACAATTAGAAAACATGCATTTTCTTACCAGTTCCTGAATTGTCTTGAAATTGATTGCTTAAGTTTACAAAAAATTTGGTTCACTCTCAGGAATCTGAATCTGAGATTTGAGTAGAAAATTACCCCTTACTTTTGTATAGCTTGATTTTACCATCCTGTTTATGAGATAAGAGTTATGCTTTAAAGAGATTTACAGATAAATTACATTTTCCATGACGTACATGTTATGAAAAGGCAACAAAACCAGCTTTTCTAGATGAACCTTAGAAACTTTTATTAGCTTTATAACTAACTTTGTTTCCTTACTTTCCTTTAGTTTAATGATATTTGTTTTTAAGGTCCTTATCACAGTATTTGAGTTCCTACCTTATCTCAAAATTGTTTGCTTGAATTTTCATTTGAGATCATCATCCATCATTTCTTGTATCAGAATGGTCACTTTGGAAACAGTAAGCTGCTATAGAAATATCTTCTTTATTTCTTTTCTTGTAAAATGTCACTCTGGGGTCTCTGCTTTCTCTGATAATCAACTTACTGGGGAAAGAAAGACTCAATGTAATTTAGTACAGCTGGTTGTACATTAAAAACTGGCATCAGACTGTAAAGCAGACTGTAGATGTGACCAAAAACTTCCAAAAGAATTCCATCTTGGTAAATGAGGCATGGCCTAAAGACAAAAACAGCAGCAGATGACTTAAGCTTCACTCTTCCAACATACATACAATACTTCAGTCCCGTTACTTTTTATAGTCTCCCAAGTTAAAACAAATAGTTCTTTTTACCTTGGCTGCTCATGCAAAGAAACAAACAAGTCACCAGCCCACAGCACTGATTGGAGCTGAAATTTTGGTTTGCACAATTTTTACCCAAAGTGCTGTGAAGTGCTATTTCCCCCATTCTCTTTCCCGACACACATAACAAGCATAGACAGGCTGTATTCTTTGGGAACAGGTAGAGACCAAAGCCATGAAGTACCAGACGGTACTCATATGCAAAGCCAAGAAAAACAGAAGCTTAACTGCTTTGCATGCTGAACCTCAGACCATTTTGAAATAAACTTGGATTTGCTTTATTTCCAGAAAAAACACAGTCGATTATGGGCTTGGGAGTTTTTTCTTGTATTGGGAAAAATCTTTATCTTGTATATACAGACACACACACACGCACACACACACACACGCACGCATGCACACACCACAAATTATGGAAAACACTGGCTGGAACATCAAACAGTTAAAATCAAACTTTCTAGTCTGAGTGAATCCATTAAATGTCAAGTATTTGAAAGCTGCCTTCCTGCTGTGCTGTCCCTAACCCACTGGAACGAAAAAGCATTCATGAGTTACTTGAATGAGTTACTACAGGCTCCAGGATCCCTCTAGTGCTCCTATTTGTATTGCTAATGTAGTAAATGTCTTGGAATTAAGATGTGGGTGCACACAATTGGAGTAAACAGTGCTGAGTTGAAAAAGTCATCAGGCTTAGAGCTGTCACACATGAGCGGAAGTGAAAAGCTAAATCATTTTCTCTGTTTCTAGGCATGCTTTGGGTGAAATGCACACAAATACGGGCCAAAAACAGCTGATGAATGCTTAATGTGGGAGGGGTAAGGAGGGAAAAACAGAGTGGCATAGCTGCAACCTCTTTCCCTCCCCAGAAACATGTGAAAATGGCAAGGACATCATGAACTTCTAAAATAAAACCCAGTTCCATTTGCTTTTACCCAGGGAAGTGGGAAGTGTTGTGGTACAGTGGAACAGTTTGACTCCAGTGAACTATAAGAGCAAAACTTCGGCGGGGGGGGATATTATCCCTACTGTGAATCAGATCCATGCTGCAGTGAGTGAGGCTGTGCTAGAGAATTTCAGATTCACTGGGCTCTGCAAGATATGCTTGTGGATATTGGGGTACTTCAGGTATGGACAAAGAGGCAACCCTCATGGTCCTGTGACTATAAAGTCACCAAGCCTTATAAATATCTTTTTGTTTTCCTGTGTGCTTCACCATAAGGTGATCTGATCTGGCACATTTCATGGGTTTATGCTACCATCCTGTGGGTCCCTGTGTGGAGTTTAAGCTAGTTGTGACCTACGAGATTCTACATGGCTTGGGAAATGCTCAAAAATAATCCAAAGATGCCATTTTATTAGTCCTATACATCTCTTTTTTTCAGATTCATAAAACAAAATCTAGCTTTGGCAGTGCATCCACTGCTTCACTGGAAGTTATTTCCACACATGAGTTCATTGGAGCTAATGTCTCTAGCTAGAGTCTGCCACTGTTAAACAGGAGCTACATTACCAGGAACAGCTAACAGACAGTAGGATCGTTGATGCACGGATGGCTTGATTAGTGGAACATCAAGTCCATTAAAGAGGAGAGAAGGCTGTTAATACCTGTGGAATGACATTTTAGAAGGAATCAGGTAGATTATAATGAGCCATGAAGTCAATTAACTCCCTCAGCACTACCTGACTAGAAATGCTGCAGACACTGCCAGCTAGGCAGTTTTAAATTTTGGTTGGGCCAGGAATCAAAAGGGGATGCAACTACACCATGTTTGGATATGTTTGGATCTGCCCCTGGAGATGCCTACCTGACTGGCCATCTATTTTGCTGTGCTGCATATAAAACCAGTAGAGAGTTCAAGATAGAGTGAAAGAGCTTGTTGCTGTGTTACTTCTTATAATGGTTGCCAGACTTAAGAATTTCATGCTCCACTTGGTTCAAAATAGCCCAGACTAATTTTTTGTTTTTGTTTTTTTGTTTTGTGTTTGTTTTTTCTTCAGGATATGCTATACACTTTCCTTTTCCCCTCTGGCATTTAGAGGTAGAGGGAGGGGTGTGTGTGAGGGTTGGCATCTAAGAAAGGCAAGGCATGTTCACCACTTAACAGTGCTTGGTTTGTTGATTCTTGTTTTGTAGGAACGATTAAAAGTTAGACTTGTCAGTGCTTTTTTTCTTGCATTTTTAAATCAGTATAAAAGGCACACAAAAGCCTGGGAAATTCAATTGCAGACACCCTTTGCAAGCTAGAAGTGATAAAGTGAAATGAGTTTTGATCAGAATAACAGTATGACCTGATTAGATCCAGTTAATTTCCATGACTTCAGTTTATATAATTCACATTGGGTTAGACTACAGCTTGTTTCTCTTCTCTTGCATTCATATTTTATCTGCTTTTTTCTTTATCTGCAATTTATACTTTAGTGTTTAGGCTGTTTAGTTAAATGACTGTCTGTTGAACACATTAGTGTAATTGGTAATGAAGCAAAACACGAAGTAATGCAGTTCCTTAAAAGAAATCAGGTACAAATGCTGTATGCATTGCTTTTCTACTCACCTAATTTGGATTAGATGGATAGTGGGAGCTGGTCAAAAATGTGGAATGAAAGAAGTTCTCAGTGATTTCATCAATCATTTTCTCCTTTTTAAATCCAAATTCAAAATGTTAATAACAAATGCCCTAAAAAAATCAACAAAAAACTAACTTTTGTTTTGACTGATCTCCCCTGTTCCTGCCATTCCCACTCCAGAACTCTCATTCCGATTTTTCTGATCAGCTTCAATTATTTCCTTACCCCTACTCCCAATTTCCATAACCCTACTCCCAATATTTTCACTCCAAGCTGCTGAACCCTCCTCTGTCTCTACTCCAGAAAACAATCCTTACTCCTTTGGTGTCTTATACCTATGTACCTATTGCCCAAAGCATCCTGCCTTAGCCTTCTAGGGCACATCCCCATAAGCAGGAACGTACATTTACCCAGGGACAGCTAGCAGTGCCATACACTTGTGCTACTGCTAGTTGTTCCCAGATATGCCCCTGCACATGCACCCTGGTACACCGCAAATTTCCCCAGGTGGGGTACGGGAGGCTGGGGCCAGCATCTGGGCTGGCTCCAGCAGCCTTACCTGGGGTCCTGGGGGTCTTCTGGGGCTCCAGTGGTGCCGATCTGGGCACATGGAGCCTGTTTGGAATCTGGAGCATGGCTCTGGCCAGCCAGGCTCCAGTTTCGGGAGTCACATGTTGCAGCCATGTATGCCACCTAGAACTGGAGCCTGGCTGGCCAGAGCCATACTCCAGCTGCCAGTCAGGCTCCAAACAGCCAGATCACTGCCTCTGCAGCCCCAAGAGGGCCCCAGGACCCCAGTCTCCCCTATCCCACCTGGAGCAATTTGCTGTACAGCGGAGTGTGTGTGCAGGGGTATCCTGGGAACAACTAGCAGTGGCACAAATATGTGCAGCTACTGTCTCTGGGGAAATGCACTTTTCCGGTTCTGGGGATGCACCCCTGGATGCTAACCCTTAACAGCACAATCCCCACCACTAACACATACAAAACATTGCTAAAACATCAAATGTAGCCAAAATAGATGAGACCTAGTAGACAAAGAGAAACAAAGCCACATTATTTCTGTGATTTTTTCGTGAAAATGTGAATCAACTAAGGCCTTAGTTATGAGCAGAATATAGGATGAAACATTTGTATGTTTTAGCTTGCATG